CTAGTACGCAATAGTGACAAACAAGATTACACCAGACAAACAAAGAAAGGATGTTATGCATATTATAACCCAATAACAAAAGCCACAGCGCATTTACAATTTTTAAATAAAATTACTTGTTTACAACAGAATAAAAACATACAATAAATTTACAGCAGAAACAAAGCCACAAAAACATACCGACAGACAAACAAACAAACCAAACATCAGGACAACTTTTACACAACATTAAACTTCAACAAATCAAACACGCAAATAAACAAGCTCACTAAGTAGAAAACTCTGCAGTTACTCACCAGAAAAGGATCTACGGTGATGTCACTCTGGATCTCTGGAGCGAGATAGCCTTTTGTTCCGAGTACGTTCTTGCTGCTCACTCTGTTTTGTCCGTGTGCCAGAAGGCGGGACATTCCCAGGTCACCGAGAATAGCGTTGTTGGATTCATCCAGGAATACGTTGGCAGGCTTCACGTCCCCGTGTACAGCCCACCTGTTGTGAAGATATCTCAGTGCACAGGCCGTCTGCACGAAGCAGCGCTCTAACTGCTCCCTGTTGAGACGGTGACGCGCATCATGCAAAGATCCTCGTGAGCACAGAGGCATGCAGATAGCTACAAAGTCCTTGCACTTTACTGCCCAGTCCATCTTCATGATGTGCGGATGCGAAGCGTAGTCCATGAAACTGATTTCGTGAAAAATCTCCAGCCAACTGTCCCGGCCTTGGCAGTCTGTGAGACGTATCTTCTTGATGGCCTTGCGAATGGAGTTGTCGTCTTCCATTGCCGCTTCCAGAACTTGAACCGGCGTGATCGTCTTCTGGCACAGAACGCGCACTTGCCTCATCTTCACGGATGACCAAAAGTCACCAGAAATGAACTTCACCAAAGGAACTGAAAAACTTTCCATACTTGAAAATTCACGACAGATGTTGAGAAACGATACTCAGGCACACTGAAAAAGCAACGACCTCTCACTGTAAAAGCGTTACGGTGAACTGGAGGATGTCCAGGTCTGCTGACTTTATATTCCCTGTTGCTCCTCCCTTTCCCCTATCACCGCCAATCAAAATCCTAGTAAGGTTCATGTCAAATGAAGGATTAACAAAGTGTGGATAGTTGATTATGCGTAGTTGTTATTTACATGGCTAGAGTTTTTGTAACATCGATTGTGCTGATGTCCAAGACGAATAAAGACCTATTGTTTCCTTCTCCAAGGTGTGAAACAACATCACTGGAGGGGGAAACAACGCTGAAACGGCCTTTGTTGTCCAGTATTCACAACGTCTTCGTGTTGTTGGCTGCATGTTGCAATAGCGGCCAGCGTGTCATAAGGATTCCATTGAGCCAACTCTGCCCTGAGTATCAAAACAAATAAAAACACCCTGAAGCTACACGTGCTTACTAAAATCAACAACCTTTTGTCATCATTGAAATCCAAACAGTGAGGGTATGAGAGAGAGAGAGAGAGCGATGTTGGACAATACAGATAATTAAGAGCAAGATAGTGTTCCGATACTATAATCTTGAGCATTAAATTCCTCACAAGAAAAGAAAATACTCACTTTAAAACTACATTTCAAGTTCCATATCTAAAAGCAGAAATCTGTAGATTCTGTGTGGGTGCGTGTGTGTATGCGTATGCTTGAGTGTGTATGTGAGAGAATCGTGTGAGAGACGAGACTGAGAGTGGGTCTGCCTGTGAGTTTGTTTCTCTGTTTATTTTAGTGGTGAAAAAGTGAATTTCACAGAAAACGTAATGCTGGTAAAAATTAAAAAAAAAACAACCTAACTAACCAACGAAAACGAAGGACGGGCTTTTCAGAGTACGAATTGAGGGGAAAGTTTAACTAAGTAAACAGCACTTGGTGGGACTTGTTCTCCATATGATATAACAAAAACCAAACTTTTTAATCTTTACGCCGCTAAATTTTGTTGCATTTTTTCCGTTCGATGTTGGCTCACTGAGAGAAAGTCCCTGGAGCAAATGATCTTTTAAAAAATGGGATACATGCTTTGGGCTAAAAAAAAATTAAAAAGGATTAACTCAGCCAGGTCAGTTTTTATATTTTAAATAGTAGATGTTTCCGTGGCTAGCATTTTTCTGTGACTGATCGTGCTGTAGTCGAAAATGAATAAAAATCTATTGTTTCCATCTCCAAGATATGAAACAACATCGTCTCAGGGTAAAAAACCCACTGAAATGGCTTTTGTTGAAGTGTTTATAACATCTGGTTGTTGGTGGCTGTATGACGCAGTAGCGGCCAGCACATCATTTGGACTCCATTGAGAGTACTCTGTTATAGCAGGTATTAAAAAAATACGCTCAAGATTCAAAAGTCTTTTGTTGACGTTGAAATCAAAACAGTGAGGTTTGGCTAGAGGGAAATCGGCAGAACAAATTAATGAGCAAGGTAATAGGCAGCTCCCAGAATTTTGAGTAAGAAATTACTTACAACTAATGAAAATTAATTACCTGGAAAACTACATTTCAGCTCCATGACAACCTTGCGTGTTTGTGTGTGTGTGTGTGTGTGTGTGTGTGTGTGTGTGTGTGTGTGTGTGTGTGTGTGTGTGTGTGTGTGTGTGTGTGTGTGTGTGTATGTGTGTGTGTATGTGTGTGTGTGTGTGTGTGTGTGTGTGTCTGGGAGATGTCGTTTGAAAGTTGAAAAAAGTCTGCCTGTAAGTATGCATCTGTGTCAATTTTCTGTGAGAGGCTGATAAGGAAATTTTACAGAAAACTGAACAACAGTTAGTAACAAAAACAGAATGAAAGGTGTTTTAGAGGACAACACGAGGGAATAGCTTAATTAAGTGGAACAACAGTTAGTAACAAAAACAGAATGAAAGAAGGTTAAAGTAACCCAAACATCTTCACCCATTAATTCTTTACCTAAAAGTTTATAACCCTTGGATGCAAATGAAAGGATCCTTTTGAGTTAGGAGGAAAAAAATAATTCTGGGCCATATGGTTTGTGGCATTCCTCAATCTCCAACAGTCTACGTCTGCACAATACTGTGAACTTGATCCATTCCGTGGTTTTCCGATGTCGTATCTGTGGGTACATAGCGCTGCTGTTGAGAGCTTGGTTGTGTGGCACAATACATGTTTGTCCTGTGAACCTTTCTGCATTTATGTATTTTGATTGGGCGACGGGCATTCTAACCTTCCTACCTATTGGAGTTGAAATAATCCTTACCGTGTGATTTGGAGTGGTATTTGCACAACGCTACACTTCGAGCAGGAAACAAAAACATGTCTTAGTAATGAGATGCTATACAGACTTCTGAATGGAGTTACAAAACATACCGATGAAATAAAACTACTTTGTTTTTTTATGTTGGCATCATCGCCTTTTCCCTCTCAGTTTCCACGGGCTTGGGACCGTCTCAGGGTACACTGTACACCGAGGCCTGATTAAAAAGACGGCGCTACCGAGCGCTCACGTCTGGGGTATGTTAGTTGTTAGTCAGTTTAAGAATGTTAGTGTTATGGGTTGGGTCAGTCAACAAATTGGATGTTAGAAATTAGTACATTTTGCTAATTAAAGTAAGTTATAGCTACAGTTTGCATTCTAGTGATTTAACGATTGAGTAGTTGTTATTGAAACAGCTGAAAAAAGACAAAACAAAGTAGCCGATTAAACCAAGCGCTGCCCCCACAGTGGCTGGAATAATTTCGGCTCGTTAGTAACACATTAATGAAAACACAGAAATGCACGTACGAGACAAGACATTTCAGAGTTAGATAAAATGGAAACTTTTTAGTTACTGTGAGACAACTATGTTAGTAAAGTAAAATAGAGAAAATGCTGTGTCCACTTCGTAGGTAGCAGATCCTCCCTCAGCGGTAGTGAGGGTAACAACTCACCAGCAACATGTGTAAAGTCCTCGTCAACTCCCCATTACTCACATGATGACTTCAGCTTGTGATGTACAGGCCCTGAGCTTGCCTTGGTGTGTCCAAGACACTTGCTTCCTGCCTCATTGAGTTTTCTGTTGGTTAAGACAAACACGAGTGCAAAATATGTGTCGTTGGGTGGACAAATTTGTAAGTAAACTAAAAGTTAAAGTAGTGTAGTACATTTCAAAAACCAAAATAGCAATTCAATTCAATTATTAGGTGAATTAGGTAAACGGAAATGGGTGAAATATAAGAAAACTAGAAACAACTTCAACACCATATTTTGTTAGAAAGTGCTAAAATGAAGAAAGAAAAGAGGAAAAAAAGTATGCAAATACAGCACTTGCACTCGTTACAGAGAGTCTATGATTACCCTGAACTGCTGAAAACGCTCACAAAGGAATTCCAGGAGATGGCAGACTGAAAGTCGGAGTCGTGGGTTGTTCTGTACAAGCCTGTAGAGCACAAACCTGTGGAGTAAGCAAAAATACTCAGATAAATAATCGGCAACATCAAGTGAAAGCAAGTATTCATATTATGGTAAATGGAAATTTCTGAATATTCTACGTAACAGACTACAAGTATGTATTTTCTTTAAAAAACCAACATATTACTATTTTATTTTTCATTTACAAGGAATCAACAGCACTCATCTAAAAGTAAAGAAAGCTGCATTGGGTTAGGATCCAAAGTAAAGAATGTCTCGTTACCTGAAGAAGCCCAAGAGCGGCATTAGGGTTCTGTCGGATTTCACAGCGTGCAGAAGATCCTCTCCATCGCGAGGTTTTCGTTTGAAGACAAGAAACCACAGCGTTGCTCCAAGTGCGTACGCGTCCGTCTGTAGAGAATAAGTGGAAAAAAGAGTTGGTCAATAGTGAGCAAATGGTTCCAAGCAACAGCATATTGCTGCAGTATACAAAGACCTTCAGGGAGCACACAGAAAAAAAGAAAGGGAAAATACAATTATCTACTAGTACGCAATAGTGACAAACAAGATTACACCAGACAAACAAAGAAAGGATGTTATGCATATTATAACCCAAAAACAAAAGCCACAGCGCATTTACAATTTTTAAATAAAATTACTTGTTTACAACAGAATAAAAACATACAATAAATTTACAGCAGAAACAAAGCCACAAAAACATACCGACAGACAAACAAACAAACCAAACATCAGGACAACTTTTACACAACATTAAACTTCAACAAATCAAACACGCAAATAAACAAGCTCACTAAGTAGAAAACTCTGCAGTTACTCACCAGAAAAGGATCTACGGTGATGTCACTCTGGATCTCTGGAGCGAGATAGCCTTTTGTTCCGAGTACGTTCTTGCTGCTCACTCTGTTTTGTCCGTGTGCCAGAAGGCGGGACATTCCCAGGTCACCGAGAATAGCGTTGTTGGATTCATCCAGGAATACGTTGGCAGGCTTCACGTCCCCGTGTACAGCCCACCTGTTGTGAAGATATCTCAGTGCACAGGCGGTCTGCACGAAGCAGCGCTCTAACTGCTCCCTGTTGAGACGGTGACGCGCATCATGCAAAGATCCTCGTGAGCACAGAGGCATGCAGATAGCTACAAAGTCCTTGCACTTTACTGCCCAGTCCATCTTCATGATGTGCGGATGCGAAGCGTAGTCCATGAAACTGATTTCGTGAAAAATCTCCAGCCAACTGTCCCGGCCTTGGCAGTCTGTGAGACGTATCTTCTTGATGGCCTTGCGAATGGAGTTGTCGTCTTCCATTGCCGCTTCCAGAACTTGAACCGGCGTGATCGTCTTCTGGCACAGAACGCGCACTTGCCTCATCTTCACCAAAAGTCACCAGAAATGAACTTCACCAAAGGAACTGAAAAACTTTCCATACTTGAAAATTCACGACAGATGTTGAGAAACGATACTCAGGCACACTGAAAAAGCAACGACCTCTCACTGTAAAAGCGTTACGGTGAACTGGAGGATGTCCAGGTCGGCTGACTTTATATTCCCTGTTGCTCCTCCCTTTCCCCTATCACCGCCAATCAAAATCCTAGTAAGGTTCATGTCAAATGAAGGATTAACAAAGTGTGGATAGTTGATTATGCGTAGTTGTTATTTACATGGCTAGAGTTTTTGTAACACCGACCGTGCTGTTGTCCAAGACGAATAAAGACCTATTGTTTCCTTCTCCAAGGTGTGAAACAACATCACTGGAGGGTGAAACAACGCTGAAACGGCCTTTGTTGTCCAGTATTCACAACGTCTTCGTGTTGTTGGCTGCACGTTGCAATAGCGGCCAGCGTGTCATAAGGATTCCATTGAGCCAACTCTGCCCTGAGTATCAAAACAAATAAAAACACCCTGAAGCTACACGTGCTTACTAAAATCAACAACCTTTTGTCATCATTGAAATCCAAACAGTGAGGGTATGAGAGAGAGAGAGCGATGTTGGACAATACAGATAATTAAGAGCAAGATAGTGTTCCGATACTATAATCTTGAGCATTAAATTCCTCACAAGAAAAGAAAATACTCACTTTAAAACTACATTTCAAGTTCCATATCTAAAAGCAGAAATCTGTAGATTCTGTGTGGGTGCGTGTGTGTATGCGTATGCTTGAGTGTGTATGTGAGAGAATCGTGTGAGAGACGAGACTGAGAGTGGGTCTGCCTGTGAGTTTGTTTCTCTGTTTATTTTAGTGGTGAAAAAGTGAATTTCACAGAAAACGTAATGCTGATAAAAATTTAAAAAAACAACAACCTAACTAACCAACGAAAACGAAGGACGGGCTTTTCAGAGTACGAATTGAGGGGAAAGTTTAACTAAGTAAACAGCACTTGGTGGGACTTGTTCTCCATATGATATAACAAAAACCAAACTTTTTAATCTTTACGCCGCTAAATTTTGTTACATTTTTTTCCGTTCGATGTTGGCTCACTGAGAGAAAGTCCCTGGAGCAAATGATCTTTTAAAAAATGGGATACATGCTTTGGGCTAAAAAAAATTTTAAAAGGATTAACTCAGCCAGGTCAGTTTTTTATATTTAAAATAGTAGATGTTTCCGTGGCTAGCATTTTTCTGTGACTGATCGTGCTGTAGTCGAAAATGAATAAAGATCTATTGTTTCCATCTCCAAGATATGAAACAACATCGTCTCAGGGTAAAAAACCCACTGAAATGGCTTTTGTTGAAGTGTTTATAACATCTGGTTGTTGGTGGCTGTATGACGCAGTAGCGGCCAGCACATCATTTGGACTCCATTGAGAGTACTCTGTTATAGCAGGTATTAAAAAAATACGCTCAAGATTCAAGTCTTTTGTTGACGTTGAAATCAAAACAGTGAGGTTTGGCTAGAGGGAAATCGGCAGAACAAATTAATGAGCAAAGTAATAGGCAGCTCCCAGAATTTTGAGTAAGAAATTACTTACAACTAATGAAAATTAATTACTTGGAAAACTACATTTCAGCTCCATGACAAAAAGGATAGAATTCTTGATTCTGTATGGGTCCTGTATGCGCGCGTGTGTGTGTGTGTGTGTGTGTGTGTGTGTGTGTGTGTGTGTGTGTGTGTGTGTGTGTGTGTGTGTGTGTGTGTGTGTGTGTGTGTGTGTGTGTGTTTGTGTTTGTAAGGGAGAGTGTGTCTGGGAGATGTCGTTTGAAAGTTGAAAAAAGTCTGTATCAATTTTCTGTGAGCGGCTGAACAACAGTTAGTAACAAAAACAGAATGAAAGGTGTTTTAGAGGACAGAATGAAAGGTGTTTTAGAGGACAACACGAGGGAATAGCTTAATTAAGTGATCAAGGGAACTGCACATCGCGTGACTTGTTCACCCATTAATTCTTGACCTAAAAGTTTATAACCTTTGGATGCAAATGAAAGGATCCTTTTGAGTTAGGAGGGAAAAAATAATTCTGGGCCATATGGTTTGTGACATTCCTCAATCTCCAACAGTCTACGTCTGCACAATACTGTGAACTTGATCCATTCCGTGGTTTTCCGATGTCTTATCTGTGGGTACATGGCGCTGCTGTTGAGAGCTTGGTTGTGTGGCACAACACATGTTTGTCGTGTGAACCTTTCTGCATTTCTGCATTTTGATTGGGCGACGGGCATTCTAACCTTCCTACCTATTGGAGTTGAAATAATCCTTACCGTGTGATTTGGAGTGGTATTTGCACAACGCTACACTTCGAGCAGGAAACAAAAACATGTATTAGTAATGAGATGCTATACAGACTTCTGAATGGAGTTACAAAACATACCGATGAAATAAAACTACTTTGTTTTTTTATTTTGGCATCATCGCCTTTTCCCTCTCAGTTTCCACGGGCTTGGGACCGTCTCAGGGTACACTGTACACCGAGGCCTAATTAAAAAGACGGCGCTACCGAGCGCTCACGTCTGGGGTATGTTAGTGGTTAGTCAGTTTAAGAATGTTAGTGTTATGGGTTGGGTCAGTCAACAAATTGGATGTTAGAAATTAGTATATTTTGCTAATTAAAGTAAGTTATAGCTACAGTTTGCATTCTAGTGATTTAACGATTGAGTAGTTGTTATTGAAACAGCTGAAAAAAAAAAAGTAGCCGATTAAACCAAGCGCTGCCCCCACAGTGGCTGGAATAATTTCGGCTCGTTAGTAACACATTAATGAAAACACAGAATTGCAAGTACGAGACAAGACATTTCAGAGTTAGATAAAAATGGAAACTTTTTAGTTACTGTGAGACAACTATGTTAGTAAAGTAAAATAGAGAAAATGCTGTGTCCACTTCGTAGGTAGCAGGTCCCCCCTCAGCGGTAGTGAGGGTAACAACTCACCAGCAACATGTGTAAAGTCCTCGTCAACTCCCCATTACTCACATGATGACTTCAGCTGGTGATGTACAGGCCCTGAGCTTGCCTTGGTGTGTCCAAGACACCTGCTTCCTGCCTCATTGAGTTTTCTGTTGGTTAAGACAAACACGAGTGCAAAATATGTGTCGTTGGGTGGACAAATTTGTAAGTAAACTAAAAGTTAAAGTAGTGTAGTACATTTCAAAAACCAAAATAGCAATTCAATTCAATTATTAGGTGAATTAGGTAAACGGAAATGGGTGAAATATAAGAAAACTAGAAACAACTTCAACACCATATTTTGTTAGAAAGTGCTAAAATGAAGAAAGAAAAGAGGAAAAAAAGTATGCAAATACAGCACTTGCACTCGTTACAGAGAGTCTATGATTACCCTGAACTGCTGAAAGCGCTCACGAAGGAATTCCAGGAGATGGCAGACTGAAAGTCGGAGTCGTGGGTTGTTCTGTACAAGCCTGTAGAGCACAAACCTGTGGAGTAAGCAAAAATACTCAGATAAATAATCGGCAACATCAAGTGAAAGCAAGTATTCATATTATGGTAAATGGAAATTTCTGAATATTCTACGTAACAGACTACAAGTATGTATTTTCTTTAAAAAACCAACATATTACTATTTTATTTTTCATTTACAAGGAATCAACAGCACTCATCTAAAAGTAAAGAAAGCTGCATTGGGTTAGGATCAAAAGTAAAGAATGTCTCGTTACCTGAAGAAGCCCAAGAGCGGCATTAGGGTTCTGTCGGATTTCACAGCGTGCAGAAGATCCTCTCCATCGCGAGGTTTTCGTTTGAAGACAAGAAACCACAGCGTTGCTCCAAGTGCGTACGCGTCCGTCTGTAGAGAATAAGTGGAAAAAAGAGTTGGTCAATAGTGAGCAAATGGTTCCAAGCAACAGCATATTGCTGCAGTATACAAAGACCTTCAGGGAGCACACAGAAAAAAAGAAAGGGAAAATACAATTATCTACTAGTACGCAATAGTGACAAACAAGATTACACCAGACAAACAAAGAAAGGATGTTATGCATATTATAACCCAATAACAAAAGCCACAGCGCATTTACAATTTTAAAATAAAATTACTTGTTTACAACAGAATAAAAACATACAATAAATTTACAGCAGAAACAAAGCCACAAAAACATACCGACAGACAAACAAACAAACCAAACATCAGGACAACTTTTACACAACATTAAACTTAAACAAATCAAACACGCAAATAAACAAGCTCACTAAGTAGAAAACTCTGCAGTTACTCACCAGAAAAGGATCTACGGTGATGTCAGTCTGGATCTCTGGAGCGAGATAGCCTTTTGTTCCGAGTACGTTCTTGCTGCTCACTCTGTTTTGTCCGTGTGCCAGAAGGCGGGACATTCCCAGGTCACCGAGAATAGCGTTGTTGGATTCATCCAGGAATACGTTGGCAGGCTTCACGTCCCCGTGTACAGCCCACCTGTTGTGAAGATATCTCAGTGCACAGGCGGTCTGCACGAAGCAGCGCTCTAACTGCTCCCTGTTGAGACGGTGACGCGCATCATGCAAAGATCCTCGTGAGCACAGAGGCATGCAGATAGCTACAAAGTCCTTGCACTTTACTGCCCAGTCCATCTTCATGATGTGCGGATGCGAAGCGTAGTCCATGAAACTGATTTCGTGAAAAATCTCCAGCCAACTGTCCCGGCCTTGGCAGTCTGTGAGACGTATCTTCTTGATGGCCTTGCGAATGGAGTTGTCGTCTTCCATTGCCGCTTCCAGAACTTGAACCGGCGTGATCGTCTTCTGGCACAGAACGCGCACTTGCCTCATCTTCACGGATGACCAAAAGTCACCAGAAATGAACTTCACCAAAGGAACTGAAAAACTTTCCATACTTGAAAATTCACGACAGATGTTGAGAAACGATACTCAGGCACACTGAAAAAGCAACGACCTCTCACTGTAAAAGCGTTACGGTGAACTGGAGGATGTCCAGGTCTGCTGACTTTATATTCCCTGTTGCTCCTCCCTTTCCCCTATCACCGCCAATCAAAATCCTAGTAAGGTTCATGTCAAATGAAGGATTAACAAAGTGTGGCTAGTTGATTATGCGTAGTTGTTATTTACATGGCTAGAGTTTTTGTAACATCCATTGTGCTGATGTCCAAGACGAATAAAGACCTATTGTTTCCTTCTCCAAGGTGTGAAACAACATCACTGGAGGGGGAAACAACGCTGAAACGGCCTTTGTTGTCCAGTATTCACAACGTCTTCGTGTTGTTGGCTGCATGTTGCAATAGCGGCCAGCGTGTCATAAGGATTCCATTGAGCCAACTCTGCCATGAGTATCAAAACAAATAAAAACACCCTGAAGCTACACGTGCTTACTAAAATCAACAACCTTTTGTCATCATTGAAATCCAAACAGTGAGGGTATGAGAGAGAGAGAGAGCGATGTTGGACAATACAGATAATTAAGAGCAAGATAGTGTTCCGATACTATAATCTTGAGCATTAAATTCCTCACAAGAAAAGAAAATACTCACTTTAAAACTACATTTCAAGTTCCATATCTAAAAGCAGAAATCTGTAGATTCTGAAATCTGTAGATTCTGTGTGGGTGCGTGTGTGTATGCGTATGCTTGAGTGTGTATGTGAGAGAATCGTGTGAGAGACGAGACTGAGAGTGGGTCTGCCTGTGAGTTTGTTTCTCTGTTTATTTTAGTGGTGAAAAAGTGAATTTCACAGAAAACGTAATGCTGGTAAAAATTAAAAAAAAAACAACCTAACTAACCAACGAAAACGAAGGACGGGCTTTTCAGAGTACGAATTGAGGGGAAAGTTTAACTAAGTAAACAGCACTTGGTGGGACTTGTTCTCCATATGATATAACAAAAACCAAACCTTTTAATCTTTACGCCGCTAAATTTTGTTGCATTTTTTTCCGTTCGATGTTGGCTCACTGAGAGAAAGTCCCTGGAGCAAATGATCTTTTAAAAAATGGGATACATGCTTTGGGCTAAAAAAAAATTAAAAAGGATTAACTCAGCCAGGTCAGTTTTTATATTTTAAATAGTAGATGTTTCCGTGGCTAGCATTTTTCTGTGACTGATCGTGCTGTAGTCGAAAATGAATAAAGATCTATTGTTTCCATCTCCAAGATATGAAACAACATCGTCTCAGGGTAAAAAACCCACTGAAATGGCTTTTGTTGAAGTGTTTATAACATCTGGTTGTTGGTGGCTGTATGACGCAGTAGCGGCCAGCACATCATTTGGACTCCATTGAGAGTACTCTGTTATAGCAGGTATTAAAAAAATACGCTCAAGATTCAAAAGTCTTTTGTTGACGTTGAAATCAAAACAGTGAGGTTTGGCTAGAGGGAAATCGGCAGAACAAATTAATGAGCAAGGTAATAGGCAGCTCTGAGCAAGGTAATAGGCAGCTCCCAGAATTTTGAGTAAGAAATTACTTACAACTAATGAAAATTAATTACCTGGAAAACTACATTTCAGCTCCATGACAAAAAGTATAGAATTCTTGATTCTGTATGGGTGCTCCTGTATGTGTGTGTGTGTGTGTGTGTGTGTGTGTGTGTGTGTGTGTGTGTGTGTGTGTGTATGTGTGTGTGTATGTGTGTGTGTGTGTGTGTGTGTTTGTGTTTGTAAGGGAGAGTGTGTCTGGGAGATGTCGTTTGAAAGTTGAAAAAAGTCTGCCTGTAAGTATGCATCTGTGTCAATTTTCTGTGAGAGGCTGATAAGGAAATTTTACAGAAAACTGAACAACAGTTAGTAACAAAAACAGAATGAAAGGTGTTTTAGAGGACAACACGAGGGAATAGCTTAATTAAGTGATCAAGGGAACTGCACATCGCGTGACTTGTTCTCAAGGTTAAAGTAACCCAAACATCTTCACCCATTAATTCTTGACCTAAAAGTTTATAACCTTTGGATGCAAATGAAAGGATCCTTTTGAGTTAGGAGGAAAAAAATAATTCTGGGCCATATGGTTTGTGACATTCCTCAATCTCCAACAGTCTACGTCTGCACGATACTGTGAACTTGATCCATTCCGTGGTTTTCCGATGTCTTATCTGTGGGTACATAGCGCTGCTGTTGAGAGCTTGGTTGTGTGGCACAACACATGTTTGTCCTGTGAACCTTTCTGCATTTATGTATTTTGATTGGGCGACGGGCATTCTAACCTTCCAACCTATTGGAGTTGAAATAATCCTTACCGTGTGATTTGGAGTGGTATTTGCACAACGCTACACTTCGAGCAGGAAACAAAAACATGTCTTAGTAATGAGATGCTATACAGACTTCTGAATGGAGTTACAAAACATACCGATGAAATAAAACTACTTTGTTTTTTTATGTTGGCATCATCGCCTTTTCCCTCTCAGTTTCCACGGGCTTGGGACCGTCTCAGGGTACACTGTACACCGAGGCCTGATTAAAAAGACGGCGCTACCGAGCGCTCACGTCTGGGGTATGTTAGTTGTTAGTCAGTTTAAGAATGTTAGTGTTATGGGTTGGGTCAGTCAACAAATTGGATGTTAGAAATTAGTACATTTTGCTAATTAAAGTAAGTTATAGCTACAGTTTGCATTCTAGTGATTTAACGATTGAGTAGTTGTTATTGAAACAGCTGAAAAAAGACAAAACAAAGTAGCCGATTAAAACAAGCGCTGCCCCCACAGTTGCTGGAATAATTTCGGCTCGTTAGTAACACATTAATGAAAACACAGAAATGCACGTACGAGACAAGACATTTCAGAGTTAGATAAAATGGAAACTTTTTAGTTACTGTGAGACAACTATGTTAGTAAAGTAAAATAGAGAAAATGCTGTGTCCACTTCGTAGGTAGCAGGTCCCCCCTCAGCGGTAGTGAGGGTAACAACTCACCAGCAACATGTGTAAAGTCCTCGTCAACTCCCCATTACTCACATGATGACTTCAGCTGGTGATGTACAGGCCCTGAGCTTGCCTTGGTGTGTCCAAGACACCTGCTTCCTGCCTCATTGAGTTTTCTGTTGGTTAAGACAAACACGAGTGCAAAATATGTGTCGTTGGGTGGACAAATTTGTAAGTAAACTAAAAGTTAAAGTAGTGTAGTACATTTCAAAAACCAAAATAGCAATTCAATTCAATTATTAGGTGAATTAGGTAAACGGAAATGGGTGAAATATAAGAAAACTAGAAACAACTTCAACACCATATTTTGTTAGAAAGTGCTAAAATGAAGAAAGAAAAGAGGAAAAAAAGTATGCAAATACAGCACTTGCACTCGTTACAGAGAGTCTATGATTACCCTGAACTGCTGAAAGCGCTCACGAAGGAATTCCAGGAGATGGCAGACTGAAAGTCGGAGTCGTGGGTTGTTCTGTACAAGCCTGTAGAGCACAAACCTGTGGAGTAAGCAAAAATACTAAGATAAATAATCGGCAACCTCAAGTGAAAGCAAGTATTCATATTATGGTAAATGGAAATTTCTGAATATTCTACGTAACAGACTACAAGTATGTATTTTCTTTAAAAAACCAACATATTACTATTTTATTTTTCATTTACAAGGAATCAACAGCACTCATCTAAAAGTAAAGAAAGCTGCATTGGGTTAGGATCCAAAGTAAAGAATGTCTCGTTACCTGAAGAAGCCCAAGAGCGGCATTAGGGTTCTGTCGGATTTCACAGCGTGCAGAAGATCCTCTCCATCGCGAGGTTTTCGTTTGAAGACAAGAAACCACAGCGTTGCTCCAAGTGCGTACGCGTCCGTCTGTAGAGAATAAGTGGAAAAAAGAGTTGGTCAATAGTGAGCAAATGGTTCCAGGCAACAGCATATTGCTGCAGTATACAAAGACCTTCAGGGAGCAGCAGAAAAAAGAAAGGGAAAATACAATTATCTACTAGTACGCAATAGTGACTAACAAGATTACACCAGACAAACAAAGAAAGGATGTTATGCATATTATAACCCAATAACAAAAGCCACAGCGCATTTACAATTTTTAAATAAAATTACTTGTTTACAACAGAATAAAAACATACAATAAATTTACAGCAGAAACAAAGCCACAAAAACATACCGACAGACAAACAAAAAAACCAAACATCAGGACAACTTTTACACAACATTAAACTTAAACAAATCAAACACGCAAATAAACAAGCTCACTAAGTAGAAAACTCTGCAGTTACTCACCAGAAAAGGATCTACGGTGATGTCACTCTGGATCTCTGGAGCGAGATAGCCTTTTGTTCCGAGTACGTTCTTGCTGCTCACTCTGTTTTGTCCGTGTGCCAGAAGGCGGGACATTCCCAGGTCACCGAGAATAGCGTTGTTGGATTCATCCAGGAATACGTTGGCAGGCTTCACGTCCCCGTGTACAGCCCACCTGTTGTGAAGATATCTCAGCGCACAGGCGGTCTGCACGAAGCAGCGCTCTAACTGCTCCCTGTTGAGACGGTGACGCGCATCATGCAAAGATCCTCGTGAGCACAGAGGCATGCAGATAGCTACAAAGTCCTTGCACTTTACTGCCCAGTCCATCTTCATGATGTGCGGATGCGAAGCGTAGTCCATGAAACTGATTTCGTGAAAAATCTCCAGCCAACTGTCCCGGCCTTGGCAGTCTGTGAGACGTATCTTCTTGATGGCCTTGCGAATGGAGTTGTCGTCTTCCATTGCCGCTTCCAGAACTTGAACCGGCGTGATCGTCTTCTGGCACAGAACGCGCACTTGCCTCATCTTCACGGATGACCAAAAGTCACCAGAAATGAACTTCACCAAAGGAACTGAAAAACTTTCCATACTTGAAAATTCACGACAGATGAGAAACGATACTCAGGCACACTGAAAAAGCAACGACCTCTCACTGTAAAAGCGTTACGGTGAACTGGAGGATGTCCAGGTCTGCTGACTTTATATTCCCTGTTGCTCCTCCCTTTCCCCTATCACCGCCAATCAAAATCCTAGTAAGGTTCATGTCAAATGAAGGATTAACAAAGTGTGGATAGTTGATTATGCGTAGTTGTTATTTACATGGCTAGAGTTTTTGTAACATCCATTGTGCTGATGCCCAAGACGAATAAAGACCTATTGTTTCCTTCTCCAAGGTGTGAAACAACATCACTGGAGGGTGAAACAACGCTGAAACGGCCTTTGTTGTCCAGTATTCACAACGTCTTCGTGTTGTTGGCTGCATGTCGCAATAGCGGCCAGCGTGTCATAAGGATTCCATTGAGCCAACTCTGCCCTGAGTATCAAAACAAATAAAAACACCCTGAAGCTACACGTGCTTACTAAAATCAACAACCTTTTGTCATCATTGAAATCCAAACAGTGAGGGTATGGGAGAGGGATGTTGGACAATACAGATAATTAAGAGCAAGATAGTGTTCCGATACTATAATCTTGAGCATTAAATTCCTCACAAGAAAAGAAAATACTCACTTTAAAACTACATTTCAAGTTCCATATCTAAAAGCAGAAATCTGTAGATTCTGTGTGGGTGCGTGTGTGTATGCGTATGCTTGAGTGTGTATGTGAGAGAATCGTGTGAGAGACGAGACTGAGAGTGGGTCTGCCTG